CAAGCAATACATTCTGAATATTTTACCCTCTTTAAAACTGGCTGGAGGTAACTGCTGTGTAGCTGCTGCAGAGCTTTGACAGGAAAATTGCAGTAGTTGTGCTGGGATGAATAGGTATTTGGAGTCGTTATGGTGTTCTTAATGGACAGGGTGAGTCTTTACATTCAGGGCCTCATATGTAAAAGTATACAATGTGATCTCTCAAACTACCATATATTTTATGACAAAACACAGAAATGCCAAGTAAAAATATCTACAGCTTGAGGTGACATTTTCTACAGTTTGATGCTGGAGTGATTCTTTCTCTGTGACTTTGGATGGGACATTTGATAAACAACTTTGTATTGTTATCAGTTTGCAGTTAAAAGGTGTGTTTTAGATAGGATACAAAAGGCAAGACAGGAGCTGTTAAGTTTTACTGAGAGCCAGATGTTTTCACTCTCAACTCTACCAACTTAAACAAATTTACTTACCTATATTGAGGAAAAGGTAACATTTTCTATTTAAGGTAACATTTTTCTGTTTCACTTAAAGATGCATTATGAACACTACTATCATGGTAGTTTTGCCTGGAATGCTTGTAAATATGGCATTGAATCTATTTATTTTTGCATGAATTAAATTACATGGGTTTTTATTGCATGGAAATACTTAGAAAAACACGCATTCTTACTGTAAGTGGGGTTGCCTCAAGCCGTTGCTGGATCCTCCATCGGAAAAATTAGATATAGCAAAAATACTGCAAATTTTCCAACAAAACATTAATATGAGAGACACAACTGAGTACAGTTGACACTGACTTGGTTAATAATGCATATTTCTTAGAGTCATACAATGGGAATGAGTCTCTCTTTTATAGCTGGTTGGACCAGTATAATCATTTACAATGGATCTATTCTAACAAATGCCAGAGCTTTGGCTGCAAAATTGATTTGTCTCTCCAAGCCTCTATTACCCTGAGTGTGGACTCTGCTGGACTGTTCTTGGCTGAACTCGATGCATTAAGAGCTGTGAAATGGCTGATCACAGGAAGAGCAGCTTGGTTTGTTTGTACCACTCTGGCTGTGACAGGAATTAAAAGTATAAATCCAACTCTTAAAACTGGACAAGACACTGTGGAACTGTGAATGGTAAAGCAGGGAGTCATGGGTGATGAAGTTCACGTTTTGACGGGGCACCTGGGATATATTTGATGCATTGGGCTGACAAATAACCCCAAAAGGCAGATTGGGAGAGGTTGACCCCGAGCCTAGCGCAGTTGTCCCATTTGTGTTTGCTGTCTGGGTCCCTCTCCACGTCTCTCTATCACTTCCTCTGTCCCTCCTCTATTATTCATGCAGCGCTTTTCGGCTCATGCCTGGAGCGGGCAGCGCATTTTCAGTCAGCTGACACCGCCCCCGCTGTGCCTGGACATTCTCCCTCAGTCCACCCACCAGTGAATCTCTCTTTGTCTTCATATGTCCCAATGCTCAGCAGATATAACCGTCACTCAATCATGACCTGTCCAAGCTGTGATACTCAAAGCGGCGTGAAGCATATTCTTTGTCTGAAATATACAATTGTGTGTGGCACAAGTGGAGTTAGGCAATGTTCTTCCATAATTACGAAGGTACTGGTGTTTTCTATGTTTAGTAGGGCTAAGACCAGACAAAATTTTCACAAGACGAAATACAAGCTTAGGTCCATGAGAAAGAGATAAGACAAGATTTTAATATAATTCCTAATATATACATTTCACAATTTAGTTTCCAATTTTGGAAAAAAATTGAAACAAATATATTACATCAAATAAATACAAAATTATTTATTTGATGTAATATATTTGTTTCCATTTTATTACTACTTTTTGGAACTATAACTAACTCACCAACACAAAACCCTTCTTCAATCCAAATGTAAACACTTGGGAAACAATCTCACAAGATAATTTTTCTCATGTGTGCACAGTCTTTTAGCAATTTTGTCTTGCGAGATCTTGTGACATGAGATCTTGTACCACCCCTAATATTTAAGCTCGAATTAGAGTGACAGTGTCTAACCCACTGTGACAAAAGCACCTGTATTTGCTGGATCAGTTGGCTGGAGTGGACCAGACTGATATGTGATGTTATTTTCAAGTTGTGTGCTCAAAAGTGAGTAATACATTTGGACGTATTTGGTTCTTCATCTTTCTCATAGACTCAAGGGTTTCAAAAGTTTGATAGAGGTCACAGTGTAACTCCTGAAAAATTTACATATACAAAACTTTTCAAAATGTCAGAAGTACATTTCCCCCAACTTGTATAAATACTGCATAAAGTGAACTGTTGTTCTTGACAATGTTTTATTTAATGTTTAATGTACTAATGCATTTACCCAACTGCATGTATCTGAAAATTTGGTCATGACTGTAAGTTTATATATTTGTATTTTTGTATTTGTAGATATATATTAATAATAAATGACTATAGATACTCTGGTACATTGCTCCTATAGAGCCCCCCACTCTGAGGCAAGTTATACTTTTCTTTGGTCTTCTCACTCTGTTTGCTTGCCAAAAAGTTTGCCTCATCTAGCTCACAAAATCCTTGGAAAACTCTCCAGTCTGATAAAACAGTCTGCTGGTTGTCCTGTATAGATTGCGGTTGTGTTCCTCATGCATTTGCGCGCTCATTAGCTCAGATTTGAGTGAGGCAATAGGTATCAGGGGTCAGATGGCTGCACTTCTTCAGTGTCTGTATTAAAAGTCTAATGACAGATCAGGTCTGTGTACCTGCTGCAGTGCTCCTGGACCCTTTGGCCTTATGCTCCTGCCTCTAATGAGAACAGATGTGAGGTGTATTACACTGAACGCTCTCTCAGTTTGTGCCTTGGACTTCTGCAGAACTGACCAGCTCTTTCCCTGCTCTGTGGAGGGATTGTCTATCTTTCAGTTTACCGTAGAGGTTGAGAAGTGCTATAATGTGACTGAGAGCAAGTTTGGTTACATCAGTTTGTTTTTTAGTTTCCTTGTGTGTTGCTGGAGAGGCAGTGACTCAGTGGAGTGTTTGTCCACCAACCCCAAGGTCAGCAGTTCAATGCCAGCTTGTATACTTTCACCATGTAAACATCACACTTCACTCACTTTGAAGTGGGTCAAACCTTGGAGTGGGTCATTGGAGGTATAGTCGGTTGTGCCAAAGGTATAAAGTGGTAGCCTTGTCTGTGTCTCTACAATAATTTGCTTTGCTGTTGTAGTTTTAGATTTGTGGTTTGGGGTTATGGGTTACTATGGAAATGTCGCTCAGGTAAGGCACCATCGTAATACAGAATGTAGGTCAAAAGGAACAAGGCTGCCTGCCATATGGACAGATGGCTACACAGCTACAGGCTTTGTTGTACGCTGAATAAATAAAACAAATGGAAGTCTCAGTAAAGATGCAATTTGAACTAGAGGCATTATACCACGGTACAATGCTGGCTTACTTGCTGTGAGATTTAAATAGCACATGGACTGTCTCACTTAAACATAAATCCTCACTTTGGTTTTTGCATTTCATTTGCTTCATGCACCTTCAGCGTTGCATTCTGATGGACTGAGCACTAAACTCTTATGTCCCTGCCTCTGTCCTCAGTAATCTCACCTCCTCTCCTCATTCCCTGCTCCGTGTCACCTCTCCTGCCTCCTCCTCTCCCCTTGAACCCTTTTGTCACTGCTGCTTCCTCACTCCAGCAGCCCTCTTAGTCTGTCCTCTCTATACCACTCTAGTGACCTCTTGCCAAGGCTCCAGGGACAAGCTTTACTGTTTTGTGTTAGAAAAAAGGGGATTGTGATACCATCTGTGATTTTAATGTTTTTTACCCCCACATCAGTTCAGATAGAGAATAGTTGTTTTTGACTGAATGTAACTCTCACATTAACCAACATCTGTGCCCATAGTGTGACAATGACAGAAAATGTCAAAGAATTGCACTTAAACTTGAATTTATGGTTGTTTGTGCACCTTTAATTTACCTTTGATGATCTGAGTTTGGTGGACCAGCCAACTATCTTTCAGAGTGTCTTACTCAATCTTTGAATTAAAATGTCCAATAGAGAATAAATGTCAGGAAGGTCCATGGTAGCATTTCTGGGAAAGCTCCAGCCATTTGTAATTGGAATAGACAGAAAAAGATGAATGCTTAGAAACTTTGTGTTATTGTTTTTCTTATCTACTATTTTCAATGCCAATTTTGAAACACCCCATAGCTCCAGAATTTGACAGCGGACCCTGAAAACACATTACAATTAGCATCATACGCTCCAGTGCATCTCAAACCACTCACATTTGAAGCTCAATCAATTCAATTTAATTATAAGTTTCTTTTAAAAAAACTTCCCTAATCGCTCTAAAACTTTGAACTCCAGGGCTTTATTCACTAACAAGCTGATGGCAGGTACAATATTGCCTGAGGTAGATTTGTAATAAAGGGAAAGAACAAAGAAAGTATTCCAAAATACAAAACGAGTAAAGGATGGGGGGGGGGGGGGATCTAGACCTTTTTTTAATATATAAGATGAAAACTAATGCATTATTATATTATTATTCCAACATAACGCATAATACATAATACAAAACGTATATAACATTTTCTAAAGTTTTAAAACTGGTTATTTGACAGGCAAATATGTCACCGTGTTTAATAAAATTACATTTTATATTGAAGGGTTGTTGGTTTAAGATTTGGTTTTACTTTTAACTTGTAAGTTCAAATGAAATGTCTGAAATGGATGTATGTATAGTGAGTGTGCTTTTGTATGATTATTGGTGTACTTTTCCCTGTACTGTAGATTATTTGACTTCAACCTGCCGAGGGACTGAAGATGGAAATTAACCACGTTGGCTATAATCTTTACCTATTTACATTTTAAAAGTTAACTAATATGTCCTGTCCCTTTACAAATACATAAACTAAGCTACATCGCAGTTTCCCCAGTCTATAACATTTCCACTTCAAGAAAAGCCTGCCATTTATATATTTTCCTTCCTTCTCTCCCTCAGACATTGACGACTGCCAGTCCAATCCATGCCAGAACGGTGGAACCTGCATCGACGAGATCAACTCCTTTGTGTGCCTTTGTCTGCCCAGCTACAGCGGCGCCACCTGCGAGAAAGGTAACACTATAGGGGCCTTAAAAGCAGGCTATTCAGGCGAAGAAAAGAACTAGTGAAGGAAAATGGCTCGTGGAAAGAGCAATCGACAGAAGGAGAAGGATGAGACACGCTGGGGTGACAGTGCAGGGCCAGGTGAAACTTGCGCCGCAGGAATAAAAGATGGTTACTCTAGGAATAGGATGATGCCATTGGAGCATGTGGTGAGGAGAACTTAATAAGGACGTGTAAATGGAGAAGGGGAAGGTGCTAGGAGATAGGAAGCAGGGATTTGTGAGTAGACAAAGAAAGGTGAAGACAACTGAACAAACTGGTTAGGATTTGACCAGGGCTATAGATCAAGAGTAAAATATGTGGGGTTGTGGGTAGAATAGGTGGACTAGGGTGCGCCTGGATTGTAGGGCTAAACAACTCTTAAGGATTAAAATGATACAACACACCCAGACAGAACTAAGACTAAACCTTTACCTGAAAACTGACTTTCTGGAGCCACCTGATTGTTCTCCTTGCGAAAGCGTTCTACCTTTCTGTTCTGTTTCACTCACTCATATGAGCTGCCATTCAACCAGTTTTTTATAGAATCACTTTGATGCCACCGGCTTGTCTCCATGGAAATGTTATTGCTTTGTCTAGAACATTCCACAGTATTAATTTAACCTCTATCATGAGGGAGACAAGCAGGTCAGATCTGTGGAGAGTTGCCCATATTCACAGGAGGAATTCAAGGAATTATTATATTTTTGAGGAATAGAAACACCCGTAGTGACTAAAAGCTAGATGGATATGTTTAATTTTATACCATGGAACATCCCAGATTAAGCAATACCATCTCCATGGAGACAAGCATGTAGCAGACCCCCCACCAGAAAAGTTGCACAATGCACCTTTATACAACTCAATATGATTAATGATTGTTTAAAAGACAAGAATAAATTAGAATTATATCAGGGCCTGACAGCTTGAAATAAACCAGGATGAAACCAGAATAAATCAGGACAGGACCAAGACTAGTAGCAATTTACCAGGACTAAACAAAGAGTCTGAAAAAGAGATAAAGCCAGTGGAGGTGGTGGGTGTTGAGGGGGACCCAGTGGAATTATGTATTAGGTTTATCTGCACACCTGCGTCCAGCTGCTCTCGCCTCATTACAGGGAGTCCCCAGTGAGCGCCAGGGGCAGAGGATAGGCCTGTTCACAAACTGCACCTTACAGGAAACATGGCTGCTGTGTCAGAGGGGGAAGAAGCAGCCAGGAGTGCACACAGCTGTAGTTTAAATAGGGCTCATTGTTTTTACGCTTAAACACCTTTCACCACACTTTTAAATATGATTATTACAACAAACAAGCCCATCGGAGGACCTAATGTTTCATGTCCCATTTCACTACTTCATCTAAAAGGTGTTGTGGGATTCTGCTTCTTCAAAGGACCAATTTTTTTCCATGCAATAAAGTAAAATGTGTTTTGTCCCTGTACAGATATATTGTAAAGCCACTGAAAGTTGTGAAAAGCTCTTATAAACTCATCACAGTGAATAATTAGGACATTAACATGTGAGAAAAATGTTGAATAAGTTTTGACTGCTGTGACCAGTTTAAAATGAGCTAGATCTATTTTTCTCATTTTTCCCCCAAGAAGTAAAAGACAGTACAGAACCTTTAAAAATAGAAATATATGTGGAAGTTAAACTGTATTATCCTGTCCAGTAAAATACACTTAAGACTATTTATATTTTAGATTTCATTCTTTTTCATGCATGTCTCAAATTCTTTTCCAAGCTTTAGATCCCTGTGGCTGGATTGACTGGATCTAGGCATTACTAAGGATACAACTCAAACTAGTTATGCCCATTGACAGCACTGAATAGCTGCTATAATTTTGCTAATCATGGCAAAATTTGTAGAAAGATATCCGCCATTATTACTAACAGGGACCAGGCCATCAGTCATCCCTCTAATGTCCAGCAGCCTCTCCAGCCATCCTCAGATTAATTGGGCATGCTTAATGTTTGAGCCTCATAAAAGTCCACCACATAATTTATGGCTATACAATACATGGACAGCTGTCAAATGAGCCAAAATTATCTGCAAGAGTGACAATTTATACAAGAGTGTAAAGTTTAAAGGGACAAAATTACGTTATTTTTCTGATATGTAGTTTCCTCATCAGAAACACAGCTGATATTGTGTTTTGTTTCATTCACACATCTCTTTCACACATGCTTAACACAGAAACCCTGCATATTTATGCTGGGTTCTTCTCTCAAACATGAAAACACTCCATCTTTTGATGTCATGTGGTAATACAGGAAGTGCTCCACTGTGTTTTTAAACTCTATACACCTTCACTAGAATCATTTGGATAATTTCAGCTCTAGAATTGTTTATCTTTTATTAAAATAAAGGTAAAAGGTAGCTGTTGAAAACTACCACTGCATGACATCACAAAGTGGAACAGAGCCTTTTGAGCTTTGGGGATGTAGACAGATTAATAATGCAGTGTTATTCAAACATGTGTGAATGAAACAAAACACAACTCCAGGTATGTTTTTGATGAGGTAACAACATTCTAACATGGCTGGAGCTCACAAGAGTCTATTTTGCGTAATAATTTTTGGAAATCCTCAAAATAGAAGCCAGGATGTTGTAGTGAGAGTAAATTATGCAAAGCGTCTTGAAATAAGAATTAGAGTTGAGCTATTAAAATTTAAAGAATGAAAACAAGGAAATATTTTAGAGGACAATGCGATAAAGTGAAGGAGACTGGACACTGGAGGAATCTGCATGGCTGATTCACAATGAATGCCTAAAGCTAATAGATTTCTACAACTTTATGTGAACTTCGACCTCTTGTCTCCAAAGAGTTGGGCTTTTGAATGTTGTGACTCTTGACTGGCTGAGTTTTATCACACAGCAGATATGAGAACGTCAAGGACAAACTCACACAGTCAAATGGAAAAAGAAGAGTAAATGCTATAAAACAGTGGTACTTTTGGCAGCAGTTCTGGCTGAGCTCAAGCTGACACAAGGGCATGTTTACACAATACAAAATCAACTCTTTTCAGTGTGCTCAGGTGCGCTGGCTCAAACAGAGACGCTTTGATTATACCTTTTTAACATTGTCATTTTGTCCTTTGCTTAGGCTGCATCACATACAGTATATAGAGGTTTTATTTTATCCCGCTGCCAGTCTCGCTTTTCATGCCCAAATTTACAGAAATCAATCAACATCAGTTTGCTTTTTCAAGACATGATTGTTTTCCTTTTTGTCTCCTGTATGCCTTTTTCCACGGTATAGCATCAAAGAGGGGATATTACACTAAGAAGTTGCCAATACGATACATACCTCGATGCATAGGCCACGATACAATATATATCTCAATACAGTACACTTTCGATTTGATGTGATATATTTCAAATCGATTCAATATGGTTCAACAAACAACAAAGGCTAAATCATGGTGATAATCATGTGATACTAAAAGTCTCTGTTAAACCACATGTTATGCAAAATTCATATGAAACACAAACTTTTTAATCATCAAAACAGTGAATATGTCAAATATGTTGCATAAATGAGTTTCCTTCCTCTAAATAAGCAAAAAAATGGAGCACTATAACAGAATAATTTTGTAAACTGTACCAAAAAATACTCTTATAGAGCAGCCCCGATATTGATACTTTATCATCACATTAATTGATAAGATATATAGATATTTCGATGTTTTTTCACTCCCTTATACACTATGGGGTATTATTTGCTAACACAAACACATTTAAATCAGCATGTTACCACTTAGTTTTTTCAAAATCCTACATGTATATGCTGAAAACAATATATCGAAATGTTTAATAAGTTCCAGTTTCATTTTTGCCGCTCTGACTCCTTCCTCTCCACACTAAGTCTCTCCCTCTTCTGAGTCCTATCACAACCCAATGTACGTGCACCCCATGAATGAAATTATTTTTATATTTATGGAAAATTTTGTGGAGTAGGCTTGTGGGCTGAATCTTGGAGTAGTGTCTGCACAAGACCGCAAAATTACTCAAACATGCATGCATGATATCTGACACCACTTCAGGCATGGTTTTGATGAGGGAATAATGTTATAACATAATAAAATGCCATACTGTGGAACATTTTGGGCAATGCTATGATATCTTCATTAAGACAAGTGGCAGACTCCTCCACAATAAACGTTATATTTGCCCCTTTAATCTATGATCTGAGTTCTCTGTCACTATGGTAAAGATATAGGTGCCCAGACTTGCACTCAGCCTGGGGTTCACAAAAGTTATAATCTTTTCTTTTTGTATCTGTGTTCCTTCTTTAGTTCTTAACCACATGGATAATCTTCCCTTACCCCCTTCCTTTCCGCCTCATATGTTTCACTGCTTATTGCACAAAGTAACTGTGTTTCTCTCATTGGATATGCACCAGAGCCCATATGTCCCGCTGCGTCGCTGCCTTCACGGCTGATTGGGACCAGCAGGTCTGATTGTGTAAATTTAAAGTCTCCTTTTTACTTGGAGTTCTTATCCTGCTGTTATCAGTGGCACAGCCAGACGCATATGTGCCACTTCTGTCTCTTCTTAGCTTGATGTCCAAAGCATGTGGAATAAAATATGTTCAAGATATAAAGTCTACAATATCTAATACTTTGAAGACCTTATCTTTTGATCAAAAACATGACTTCATTTGATTCCTTTTAATCATCATCAAGTACTGCATCGACTGTAATAACCCCTACCATTATTGATAGATACTGAATGTTTTTTTCCTTTTTTTTTTTTTTTTTTTTTTTTTTTGAAACTTTTTTTGGAAAAGTCCTTGGAGTCAGGACAAAATGTTCATTCTGTTCCCCCTAAAATTCATTCATTCTGAATATCTACGTACTACACCTGTCAGTGATGATTATGTCCCATCTGATTGGTGACTCTAAATCAGCCAGCATTCCCGTTTCTGCCTCATTTGACTTTTTTCCCTTGTTCAGATGTGCATTTTGA